TGAGATGGGTACGGGGGCCCTTACCGTCTAGGAGGAGAAGCGGTAACGGTAGCCGTCCGGCGGAGCCGGCGGAACGATCCGGACGGGACCGAAACCATGTGTACCGCCAGCGCTAACGCTGGTGGTACAATAATATCACGAAACTATCTTAAGAGACACCTGTGAAATTGAACATTGACAAAACTTTGGTAAGCTGAGACAAAAGTTGGAAAGTTAATGAAAAAGGTTGAAGTAGGTTTCAAACATGGCTTACAATTGTAATTCACCACTTTGTGGGGCTCAAAATTAGACATTTTTGAAGAATTTGAAGTATTTGTGAATATCATCTCTACTTTATGTTGCTGTGTAAAACCTTTCATATTAATACTGCTTTATCATAAGACCATTACTTTATCTTTTTCTTCATCTTCATCCTCCTCTTCTACAACAGCAGTAGTAGTCTGAAAGAGAGGGACAAAATTCCCTGCTAATTTATTGAAACTGTATGTCTTGAACATGTTAATTACCAACAAAACTGCCATAAATTAATGATATGTTACTTACAAGTATTAAGAGACTTCAGTAACATTACATGGAAAACATAATTTCTATATCAATCACTCATTTTATGCATATCATGCACTGCCAGACCACCCTTAACTGATCATGCTTAAAACTTCAATAAGCTGGTAATCATTTTTAGTCCGTAGAATTTTTGTATATATATAAAAAAAAAAATAGTTGAACTGGATTTTATTAAATACATTCCTCTCATAATTATTTTACTCAGATACATTCAAATAACATGCAGTAGAGAGGTCAGCAAAGACGTGTCCAGTTTCTATAAAAACTGGCGTGGTGACTGACCTGTGTGTACTCGGTGTCCTTACTCAAGCTTATTGCCACCTGATGCATGAAGTAGTTCCACAACAGAATCAGTAGCAAAGTTAGTGGAAGCATGTAAAGCTCAAAATTCCACACAATCACCAGGAAGCTCTGAAATGGTCAACACATGCTGGGTTTAAAGCTGTTATATTTTCTTGGGCATAGCTTTCAAAGTCTTTATTTGGTCTGTTTAATACAAAATGCCATATAACACAAAGATACTGTTGTTGCAGCAAGTGGTTGTTTGGGTTCCACCACTCACATATTCATGTATTTCCATGCTTGATGTTATATGCCTAACAGATAATAAGTATAAGAAAAGAAAAAACTTTAAATTTGAATACAATTCCAATCCCAGTTCAACTGAAAACTTAAACATTCTTGTAGATTAGTAAGAGAAGGTCAACTTTTAAAAAAAGTTTCATAATATATTGTAATTTACCAGGAAAGCAAGTGCACTTCTCATTTTGGACTCCCAAGTGAAGCAACTCTGGACAAACTGGGCTGTGTCACGCACTGCTGTTACTATTGATGCCATGCGAGCTACATTCCGCTTCAGCAGCTGAAAAACAGTACAAGGTACACCAAAATCATCTCTAAAATCTTGCTGGCTGAAAACAATATTCACTGAAAGACTTTTTAGTAAAATGTAAAAAGAGACTTATACCCCATTCACACTACAGTTGCAAAAATGCGCATTTCTATAATCCGAATTTTTCGTGAGGAATTCGATTCGGTATTGCGTTCACACACGCTAAGCGAAACCGAATTACACGTTGAAAATTTCAGGTTTAACTTCCTGTTTTGAACACTGGCGCATGCGCCGCACAGGAAATCTTAAAATGCCAACAAAAATTTGTGACGACAAATGCAACTCTAAAGACATTCCAGCATTCTTGAGAAGTATAAGATGGCAAAATAAGTTTGTTTCCTCATGTTGTAGTGAGTGGTGACTTCCAAATACGTTTGGTGCAATCGCTAAAGTAATAAACAAGCGTTCATAGATACCCGCACTTATCTGCACACATGCACAGTAAGATCTGTACAGGTGTCAATTCCGGTAAGTTATCCGGATCACGCTTAGAAATCCACCTTGCTTGCAGGATTTTGAAAATGCGCATTACAAAAATCGTCTCGCGTTCACACTACTGCATTTATTCGAATTGTGACCTAATTCGCAATTTATCCGGATAACTGAGCATAGTGTGAACGGGGTATTAAATTAAAGACTAGTGCAACAGCATCAGACAACCGGTTCAAAGTTTCTAAAACACTTGTTTTTCTGTAGTGATTGTATCATAAAAACTAGATATCAGAAAACTTCACATATTTTATCCTTTAACTAATACATATTTCATTAGAGTAATGTACCCTAAACAATGGATAGACTTACAGAAATTTTCATCTTTGGTTCTGGTTGCATATATTTTTCTTCTCTTGGGTTAACAGTACGGATTGCAGCCTTAAACTACAAATAGCAAATTTCAATATGAACAACTTCACCTAATAGTATGAAAGAAGGATTTAACACACACACACACACACACACACACACACACACACACACACACCTGTTGAATAAGCTTGACATCTATTAATGTCTTTACAAATTTGGAATTGTTATTTCTCTTCTCATGACAAGTCAAGACAAATATTAGGGCATTTTTTTTTTCAAAAAATTACATCTAAAAATACGAAATGTAAGAAAAGTAAGAAATGCGCTAAAATGCTTACATGATTGTAAACAATATCAAGCTCCAGATGGATGGTCCCTTTGGTTCTTTTTTGTAACTTTCTGTCTTTTAAGGCAAAAATTTTTCTTTCGCCTTTGCATATCTAAAAAAAAAAAAAAAAAAAAAGATTTTTATTTTCAATCAGATGTAAACCTAAAGATATTACACATGTGGTTTAAATTATTATACTAAAAACAACTTCAAATTATTCAAATGAATTAACAAAAAAATTAACAATTAGACAAATTCTCACTCATCACTCAACATCACTCAAATTAGACTCATTCACATTTCACTGAAAACTTTATTTTCTAATTTTCTGTTCTGCCTTACTTTCAACAGAGGAATGGCAACTTTTCCAAGAAATTCCTTCTTCATGTCCCTGTCTTCATCATACACTGTCACTTCCAGCACAGAGTGAATGTCTTTCACATTGCTGTAGAAAAAAAACACAGAATCACAGTTATACAAGTCCCAATCAAACTGAGAGATTAGACATAGAATTGCAAGGAATTTTGCTGAACAAAACATAAAAACATATTACGCTAATATAAGAGGATACACATTCATCCTGTTTTCCTTGAAATAATGAAGAATCTGCTGTTTCAACAGCCCCATGATCTTTGTTGAAATGTATTGATTGCCCTTGCAATTGATTATCAAGGCAAATACATGTAGAGCCAATCTGCACCAATAGGATCTTTTAGAGTGCATGCAGGACAACGGACTAACAGATCCGCGGGTCAAATATGACTGATACACTTCAATGCTTGTTGCGTAATGCCCACAGGGAATCTATTCAGTGTCTAATCAAGAATTAAGCCACAAGCGTTTTAGTGGGTCACCATATTTGATTTGCGGATCTGTTAGTCAGCTGTTCTGAATGTGTTCTTAGACTAGCACTGATCAACAATAAGCTCTTTAAGTTTCAGTGATGACCTCTACGTTCCCAATAGTGTTATGTAAATGGAAGTACATAATGTAGAAGAGGATATATAAATCAATTTGAACCCAAGGCAACTGCTATATGAAGAAACATTAAGTACAGTACTGATATAAAGAATTCAATGATTTTGTATCCATTCTATGATGTATCTTTATTGCTTATTGTAGACAAAATAAACTATAAGCAAAATTCATTGTGTAGACAAGAACACAAAAAGTTGGCAATGGACATTCATAATTTTAATACTACCTGAGTAAACCTGTTACAATGTAAAAATGTTAGCTGATGGCCACTCGTGATCAAATATGTAAAAGTACTGTTGTCACTTACAATGTAAATACTTTATTCCATTCTGGATTCAGAGTTTTGTATTCTGTCTGTGTCTGCAGGTAATCATTGACTAGCTCTAAGACACAATATGGATCACTCTTGCCACCAAAGTCAGCTGATGCCAAACCCTCTGCTTTGATTACTGAAATCCAATCAGAAATGGATACAAACAATTCACCATTTTCTGCTTATTTGAATATGACACCACCAACTGATTGAAGCTAACTCAATTTTCAAAACATCATGTTACCAAAAACTCAATCAAGTTTACTCCCATAAGAGATGAAGGTGAAAATGAATCTCTAAGCATGAAATCTGATTTAATACCAATAAAAGAAAATGGCCAATGACCAAGTTTAAAAAAATGAGATTATAAAGAAGCTGTCACACATTGGCTTTGGACACTGATGGTTCCATAGATATGCTGATAGTGAATGGATCAGCAAATAGGCAGCTTCAGTATTATTATTACTAAGTGTAGTGCATACATAATTTACAGATAACTCACCTTTCACTTGAAGCCAACCTATATCTGGCATATTTCTGAAGGACTTAATCAATCCCTGAAATGATTGTATTAAATAGATTTTATTACTCTGTAAGTAGGCATCAAAGTATCAAGTTGCAGTTAAATCAAAATGAAAATATCTAATTGGTATGAGTATGTTCAAAAGAGCACTGGCAGAAATGGTGTCTATACCATCAGAACCCTGTAAATGAAACACACTGTGACTGTAAGAAGACCAGCTATATAGAATAAAGAAATAAGCAGAATGCTTAAAGGTAAACCAATTTAAACAAAAAATAAGCCCCATTGATAAAAATGGACAAACAACATCCAAAGGGACCTCTTTGCACCTTGGTCCTTTGAATAAATCTGGTAAAATAATAACTACAATTATCAATTTATAAGTCTCTATCAGGCAAATCTGTTGCCTGTCATTACAGACTGAACTATTATTTCAAGTTGAAGTTAAAAAAGATGCTCAACACACATTCAGGCAGGTGTGAGATTTAGCCCAAAAACTGAAAGACAAAAATCAACAACAAGAGTTATCACTCACATATTTCTGTACAATTGCATCTCTCTCGTATGGAATGGGTGTGTAGTTGCTAAGATCTGAGATGGTCTCCCTGCCTGCACTGCCAGTCACAGTGATCAGGAGAGTGATCACGCCCGCACCATCCTCCAGAGGTTGTACCACTTTGTGGGTTCTCTCGCTTTCCAAGGTATTCAAATCAATCACAGCTCTGAAACAGAACAGCAACATATGCAACAACCTTTTCTATTCACATGATTTGTTAAATGGAGTATACCTAATAAACACTGACAAGTCTAGTTAAATGAAAAATAAACATCCTTTAAGTTTGATATAATCCCCAATCTAACAATGGCATATGTGTTTAACAAGTACAAATTAAACTGATAAAACAAATATTTTGTACATTTATTTGTTATCCTGAAAATTTCCATTACCTGCCCATAAAGTCATCTCCAGTGACATCTTTGTCCCACACTGTTATTTCCAGTTGTTTGCTGTAGTCATCAAACATATGCAGTTGGAATTCTTCCAACCACCTTGGTTCCAGTGTCTTTGACTTTACCTTATGAAGGAGAGAAGAACTGGAATTACCTTGAAATTACTTATTAAATACATTGCCATACAATAATGGTACCCATATGAATTGGTATTGCAGCTGTCATAACTCAAATTCATCCATATGTTATTCCTAACCAGACAACTTCCATTCAACAATTACATCAAAGTTATAATTAAAACTGATGTTTAAATCTCTTTTGGTGTCTTAATTATCTGAACTATGGTAATACTTTAACTGTTTTAACCATATTTGTTTACTTTGGAAAACACAGCATCAGAAGTTTTGTTTTGTGGCTATTGAGGCTATCAAGCCAATTTTGCTACGAAATAACAACTTATAAACCAGAAGAACTATGCCATATCACAGATTTCATGGAATAAGTTTATGAAAAAAATGTTCTAAAACAATAATAAACATGTGGACAAAAGGCAGATAAATTTTAGCATATAGCTGGAAAGTCAAGGGTTTTTATGCACATTCTGCATTTTCATGGCAAACACACTTCCAATGAAAGCAATATTTTTGTTGCCAATCTCATTCAAATGACTACTTTATAATGTTAGCTAAGGACTTTTTGACCAAACTGATGTTTCTGACATAAACAATAATCAATAATATGTAGTTACCAACAGTCAATAATATGTAGTTGAATATATCAAGGAATTATGACATATATATGTTATGACATATATATGTAAATTACACATTCTATCAGAGGCTCCATTCAGAGTAGGGGACTAACTAGTCCAAAGGTAAAATATGGCCGACCCACTTGAATACTTTCCCACGGGATATCTATTCAGTGTCTATTAGCGGATTAGATAGCAAACTTTGTAGTGGGTTGCTATATTTGTCCCACAGACTAGTTAGTCCCCTATTCTGAATAGGGCCATATTGAGCTTCATATCCTTCACATGCATTTATCTGTTAATGCCTGTTACAGTATTGATTCCAAAGAACGCTCATGTGACCTGAAATGATAAGAGTACTGGAATACATAGAGATTTTTGTCTCAGGCTAACATTCCATTACTTCATATAAATCACTCTCAATTGATCCATCTCATCTCCGGTACAGACTCCATGATCAGGCTCACCTTGCTTCTACACTTTTCATTGCCCAGTCTGAACTTGACATAGGGGTCACTGAGGCCATTGTCATCCATAGGGAGCAACTGTTTCCCCTCTATTAGCACAATGGTGACCACACTGTTCCATATCTGAGACTTCAGCTTCTTGGCTGTTTCCCCATACGAGCTCTGCTGCTGCTGGCCCTTGTGGAAGAACTGGCAAGAGTGTAATGTAATATAACTTGACATTAGCCAGGGCAAAAAATTTGCAGAGCAGCTTTCAATTATGGTTTGTATGTAATTGATTAATCTTATCCAAAGTGCACGTTAAAATATCAATACTCAATTACTGTTCCGTGATTAGGCCTAGAAAGGGGAAAAAAAGATGAATAATTTAATTTAATGCTCCAGAATCTGGTATAACAGACACAAAACAACCGTGATAAATGTAAATGCCAATTTCAAGATTTTTTTTCTAGCTTGCAAACATGAAGCATTACATTGATAAAGTAGCTTGAGTAATTGCTGCAGTCAGACTTGTACCAAACAACATGAAATTTTGTCATCGAGATTTAATACAGTAACAACCTGGAAAAGAGAATGCATTAATTTAGTTTTATCTGATCTAGTTCAATACATAATCACTGCTGCTGCTTAATCATGACTGTACCTATGGTTGTTTATAAATAATGAAGACCTCAGATTTACTGGACAGAAAGAAGACAAAAACAAAAGATGATGCCAGATACATGTACCAGCAAACATAGATTCTTTACTTTTTTGCTAATATCACCATTTGAATCAATTTCTTACATATTAACAGGCAACTACTTGGTATTGCCTAGAATCACCTAGTATACAAACTTGTGATTTAAATGGGAAACACACCAATTCCACTAATCGAAACAAAATCAGTATGACAATAACAACATTTAAAAAAATTGTCTATTATATAAAAAATGAATTTTAATTTTTTCCCTACCATGAAAACAGACTGCATTTTGGTTCTATTCCAGTTCTGCATATTCTGCTTCTACCATAGACATTCTCTGCTATGTGTTTAAACTCAATGCAAAGTATATTGACTGCTCTCACCATATATGTCAGTGATATGAACTGTGAAAATCTATATCTCTCAGACTATTTGTGGAGTGAAGATCTGAACTGCTGGATTCATGCAGGTTTTGGGATATCCAGAAGAAGAGGTTGGAAGTGGAGCAATGCGTTACAGTACAACTACCACAATCCAGAACTATGATCTCTATTTACTAAATGCTCATTTCCGCCTGCAGATCAAAGATAATGTTGCTACACAAAACACACTTACACAAATGGGACCCATAGGAAATACAACCAAAGAAGACTCTTACACTGATGATGCGGGGAAAACACATAAAACTACATTGTGGATGTGTTGCATGCCAACAACTGTGGCACCGAACTTTTTCAAACATAATGCGTATTTTTTTCACTATTAGAATCTATCTACAAGTGACAATGTTAAAACGATCAGAACTAGCTATGGCTGGTATTCTAGTACACATGAGAATAATGATGAAAGAAATATATTGGTATTAAATTTGTCAGTTTTGACCTGCTGCAAATACCATAAGTGACACACTGATAATTTGGATTTCAAGCCATTGGAAAAATTTAATTAGCCTACAGCATATTTTATTCAACACCTGTAGTTCACATGCAATTACAAATAATCATCAACATTTCCTTCTTGAAAAAAAAAACATTACATTGTTAAAGTGTTTTTTTCCTTCATGTTCAAGTCAAATAATAGTCCTGAAACTAAGAAACAAGGCAGCAAAGCTGTCAAATGTACAGACAAAAAACAGAAAATAAAGATGCAAAATAGGTCATTTTGTCAATTTTGATTCAATAATAAATAATGCTTATAATAGCACAGTCAGTTAACACTGATTTTTAATCATGCACAACAGGTAACATGCTCAATAACAGGAGCAGATCCAGAGATATTTTCTGACAGTAATCCAAAGTATCTTTGCTGATCCATCCTCCACTTTTGATGGTCTTCCAACAGAAAAAAATTGATACCAGTCAATGTAAACTTTAAAATCTGACCGTCATCTGAAAGACCCAGAAGACAGCCTCAATCCACCCCTNAACATGCCTAAGAATTAAATCTGAGAAAATTTGAAAAAACAGTATAACTTCTAAAATAATAGCCAGATTATGCTGATTTTCGAACTCAACCTGCGTTTTAGTAAGATTGACCACTCCTGTGAGTTTCATGACAATTGGTCCATCTGTTTTTCTTATATTGTGTTAACAATGTTGCATATTATATGTTGAAAAAAGTGAAAAAACAGCATAACTTCCCTAAAAATGGCTGGATCATGCTGATTTTCACACATGACCTGCGTATTATGAATATTCATCAGTTCTGTAAGTTTCAAGCCAAAAGAAAAAAACAGTTTTCCACTTGTCGTGTTATCGGTAAAAGTGCACGGCGACGACGGCGACGACGACGGCAACGACAGACGCAGCTGACGGCTATATGTACAGACACATCTGTGTCTGTACATAAAAATGCATAATTTATAACCATGCAGAGCTATGAAGTCCAATATGATATGAACACAAGCACAAAAAACTAACACATATGCATTTATGGTTTTTATTTTGTAAAATAAGTTTAAGAGAAACCTTAATACGTAGTCTTAATATTCTCTTTTCTTTAAATTCAAATAATGACTACATTTAAGTGAATGCATGAAAATATATATACACATGTATAAAAAATGAGTCTAGATCAATTTTTAAATAAACCAGACTGAACTGCTGTACACCATTCAGAATTACATATACTTAATTATGGCAATTAAAATATCCTTTCATACTCATAAATACAATAGTTTCCTTTGATTAGACAGAATCGAATACATCAAATAAGATAAATAATGACCACTAATTTGAATGAAAAAATGAGGTAGAGTACATATATTAGACTCAGAGTGTGATGATACAAGAAAAATGGGAAATACTTATACCAAGGAATGACAGGTCTATACCAACAACAAAATTGCTAGAATATTGCGATTGAAAAAAAGACTCGTAAAATGGCAATGAAGAAGCCTGTTTAGTTTGTCAAATATTTTTTTCAGTGCATTTAAATGCCAAACGATGAAAGGAAGCACCTTTTAATCAGTCAAAAGCTGCCTGCTCCAATCCTTATTTAGAACAAAATGGCACAAATGGATACAAAAGAATTGAAAATATAATTACTGCAGTTCAACAAAACATTAACTAAACTGCACATAAATAAACAAAGGTTCACAATCAGATCTGAAATACTGAGAAAGAAAACTGAAAGGCACACAGTACCTTATTTTTCTTACCTCTAATGAATAATACAACAAACTGTGAGATTTTTCAAAGATAAAAAATACACACATAAGCATCACTTACATTATGAAATCTGAAAATCCTTTAAAATGCCCTTTTCAAGTAAAATGAATGCTACCACCAACCTAATTGCTATTAAACATATTTCCAATCTCTTCATTTTTACTAACATGATTGATTGCAATGAAAGTTTTTTAAAAAATTGTAACATAATCTATGATGAACACTGACCATTAATTTCAAATCAGTTCTGACAGAGTATACCATCTAATACCCACAAGCAGTAAACAAAAATATAAATAAATAAACGTAAATAAATAAACGTAAATAAAAATATTTACCTTAATATTTAAATANGTTCACAATCAGATCTGAAATACTGAGAAAGAAAACTGAAAGGCACACAGTACCTTATTTTTCTTACCTCTAATGAATAATACAACAAACTGTGAGATTTTTCAAAGATAAAAAATACACACATAAGCATCACTTACATTATGAAATCTGAAAATCCTTTAAAATGCCCTTTTCAAGTAAAATGAATGCTACCACCAACCTAATTGCTATTAAACATATTTCCAATCTCTTCATTTTTACTAACATGATTGATTGCAATGAAAGTTTTTTAAAAAATTGTAACATAATCTATGATGAACACTGACCATTAATTTCAAATCAGTTCTGACAGAGTATACCATCTAATACCCACAAGCAGTAAACAAAAATATAAATAAATAAACGTAAATAAATAAACGTAAATAAAAATATTTACCTTAATATTTAAATACAATCTCTATATGCCATTGAAAAAAAAAGTCATCTTCTGCAAAGTAATTTTTGGATTTGAAATAAGTTAAAACCCTGTTGCTTTATAACATTTGGGAGACAGAACTGGGATTATAAGAACATATCTATAAACTACATTGAGTAAAAATATAAATGCCCCACCCAATATTTTTAATTTTTTATCAGCATCTTGAAATGTATACATTAATCATATTAAGTGAATTTTGTTGTTCAATGTTCTGCAGATTACTGTACAATTATAAGACATCAGCTCATTTGGAGTGACCCATAACATATCACATAAATTATTCACATAGGGCATTTATATTTTTGCTCAGTGTACATTCTGAATGAAGTATTTTGAATGAAAGTAATGTGAAGTTTACATAAAATACTAGGGAACAGAATGAAAAATTAAAGAATTCCATGCCAATCTCCCCCCTCAATGCCTTTTAAAGATGGAAAAACAAAATAGCTTTGTGCATGCATAGTGCCAACAATTTGTTTAACAGCATGTGGTTGAATTTATGCTTGAGGATCCCTTATCACATATCATGTATCTTTTTAATATTTCAGATCTGTACCAAACCCTGTATTAATCTGTAAAAAAAACCTCTTACCAAAACCTTCAGATATATGCCTCATAAGTTATAAATGACTTGTGCACGCAAGAAAAATTGTAGTTGTATGTAAAAAATGTAATTTGAAACAAATAAATAATATCAGTTCCATTGCAGTTTTACCTTGTTTGAAGACAACAAGGTTTTCTATACTCAAATGCACCTCTAACCCAGAGGTCAGAAAAATCACACTCCAAAGCCTGCTTTGACCAGTGCTCAACTGATTATTCTAAAAAAATGAATTAATAAAATTTCAACACCATATCTATAAATATATCACAAAAGATCATAATACACAAGGAATTATTAATTGCATAGAAAATACACTAGATACCAATGGAGTAAGTCCATTGTCATATGATTTCTATAAGTTTCAAAATCCACCAAATTAGCACAAACAAGTGCAATGTGACAATTAAGTTAGCTCAATGTCAATTAAATTTGTGTAATGAAGCAGAAGACACCAAAAAATATGAAGCCAAGGACCATTTTTTCGGAAGAAAAAGTATCCTTCTGAGCCTTTCATTCCCTCTTCTTTCTGCCACTCGTGTGTTGAGGACTTTCGGAGTTCTCCAAGGGAAATTCTCTAAACTCCATCTGGAAACAAATCTTCACTATCAGCATGCCATCACATAAGAATATGCTTTGTTCTGAATATATTACAACTCAGTTTTTTGTCTATGTGTGCAAAGCTACAATATGTACATGTAAAATACTTGTCTTGTGAAATATTTAAGTTAATTATTATCAAGATATCTTTGTACAGCAAATCATTTGATCGACATGAAAGTGTTCATTTTAACATTTAAACCTACAAGACCATGTTAAATGGGCTATTTGGCATTTCAATTTAGTAAAATTAGCTTGTAATGTTCATCTCCTCATTAACAATTTTGTGAAACCCACTTGGTTTTTTGTTTGAATGAGAATCTTCACTTAAAAATTTTATTGCTCTTTCATTGTATTGCCCCATAAATTATAATGATATATTAATAAAGTCTTCGGAATACCCTCTTTAATTCTTCTAGCCATAATAATAACTATGACGTATGTAAATAACCTACCAATTCTATGTCATTGGGAACTCTGGACAGAAAATCTAATAGTTCATTATTTGGAATGGCATTTGGTTTCCGTAACTTCTTTGTGAACTTGTTAATACCTGGAAAAAACAGCATAAAATGATGTTTATATATGTTCTAATCTCACTTCAATTGACAAAGCACACTGTACGCAAAATCGGTTCGGTCTATCCGAATGATTAATCACTATCAATGTTTTTAACTCTATCATCCTGTGAGGGCATAATGTTTTTGCTACATACAAATAATGTGTATAGCCAACTGTAAGACCCCATTCCCATAGATTTTAGATCGATCTATCCCTGTGGGGAGTCTCACTAGATTACTGTCAGCTTAGCTGGCTTAAGCGTCTGTCACGCCTACTAAAAGCTGTCAGGGGGTAATTAACTATGGTGCGCGCTCAGCTGACTGCAATTTAGCGGGATCCCCCAGGGAGTTAGGTCGATCTAAATCTAAATCTCTGGATCGATCTAACTCTCTGGGAATGCACCCTAAGACTTATAATCAGATCTATATAAAATGACCATCTTCCATAAATTTGCCCCAATATGATGTGAAAACAACATCCAAATCTCTCTCTATTATTGTTGCTCTTTCTTTTATGCACATACCCCAGGCCAGAATAATCAGCCTCAGTGGAATGTAGTAAAGAATGATGGTTGCTATAAACAGCACTATCACAGCAAAGGTGGTCAACCATGGCACAGACCAGTTAAATGTGCTGAAAGCCAGAATATGTTTGATGAATACATTTTGACCAAATATCAAATATGAACACCTAATCAGACTTTGGTTAAATGGCAAAATGTACATGTGCTTTACTTGTCTGTATCCAGTATTAAATAGCTTGGTTAAACAAAATTTATCTACTTACTTGGTAAAACAATGCAGGTATATAATATTATATATCAAGGGGCTTACACATGAAATATGCATATGTATGTAACACAAACGCAATTAAATTCTTTGAATGCCTTACTTTTTAACCCTCTCTCCAAGTGAGGCCAGGTGATCCAGTATGTTCTGTACTGTTAGACAGTAGCCCTGGATTACATCCAACTTTTCCCTGAGACTACGATTCTCTTCCTAAAACAATCAAAGTCACAGTATTAACATTCTTCTAATGGGAGCAAATGAATAACATCATGAAACTATCTTAAGAGACACCTGTGGAATTGAACATTGACAAAACTTTGGAAAGCAGAGGCAAAACTTGGAAAGTTGATGAAAAAGGTTGTAGTAGGTTTCAAGCATGGCTTACAATTCACCACTTTGTGGGGCTTAAAATTAGACATATTTGAAGTATTTGAAGTATTTTGTGAATATCATCTCTACTTTATGTTGCTGTGTAAAACCTTTCTTATTAATACTGCTTTATCATAAGACAATTACTTTATCTTTTTCTTCATCTTCATCCTCCTCTTCTACAACAGCCGTAGTAGTCTGGAAGAGATGAACAAAATTCCCTGCTAATTTATTGAAACTGTATTTCTTGAACATCTTATTAGCAACAAAACTGCCATAACTTAATAATATGTTATTCACAAGTATTAAGAGACTTTAGTAACATTAAATGGGAAACATAATTTCTATATTAATCATTCATTTTATTCATATCATGCACTGCCAGACCACCCTTAACTGATCATGCTTAAAACTTCAATAAGCTGGTAATCATTTTTAGTCAGTAGTATTTTTGTATAAAAAAAATAGCTGAACTGGATTTTATTAAATACATTCCTCTCATAATTATTCCACTCAGATACATTCAAACAACCTGCAATAGAGAGGTCAGCAAAGACGTGTCCAGTTTCTATAAAAACTGGCGTGGTGACTGACCTGTGTGTACTCGGTGTCCTTACTCAAGCTTATTGCCACCTGATGCATGAAGTAGTTCCACAACAGAATCAGTAGCAAAGTTAGGGGAAGCATGTAAAGCTCAAAATTCCACACAATCACCAGGAAGCTCTGAAATGGTCAACGCATGCTGGGTTTAAAGCTGTTAAATTTTTCAGGCCTGCAGTCAGCAATTTCAAAAGGGGGCTCTGTTTCTGAAAAGTGGACCAATTACAATGAAACCTTCATGTACCTAATTAAAATTTTACCTGAGGGGACCTCCCCCCGCTCCCAGAACCCCCCTGGCTACGGGCCTGGGTATAGCTTTCAAAGTCTTTATTTGGTCTGCTAAATACAAAATGCCATATAACACAAAGATACTGTTGTTGCAGCAAATAGTTGTTTGGGTTCCACCACTCAGATATTCATGTATTTCCATGCTTGATGTTATATGCCTAACAGATAATAAGTAGAAGAAAAGAAAAAACTTTAAATTTGAATACAATTCCAATCCCAGTTCAACTGAAAACTTAAACATTCTTGTAAATTAGTAAGAGAAGGTCAATTTTTAAGAAAGTTTCATAATATATTGTAATTTACCAGGAAAGCAAGTGCACTTCTCATTTTGGACTCCCAAGTGAAGCAACTCTGGACAAACTGGGCTGTGTCACGCACTGCTGTTACTATTGATGCCATGCGAGCTACATTCCGCTTCAGCAGCTGAAAAACAGAACATGGTTCACCAAAATCATCTTTAAAATCATGCTGGCTTATAATGATGCACTGAGAGACTTTTTAGTAAAATGTAAAAAGAGACTTAAATTAAAGACTAGTGCTACAGTATCAGACAAACTATTCAAAGTTTCTAAAACACTTGTTTTTCTGTAGTGATTGTTTCAAAAAAATAGATATGAGAAAACTTCATATATCTACATATTTCACTAGAGTAATTTACCCTAAACAATGGATAGACTTACAGAAATTTTCATCTTTGGTTCTGGTTGCATATATTTTTCTTCTCTTGGGTTAACAGTACGGATTGCAGCCTTAAACTAGAAATAGCAAATTGTAATAAGAACAATTTCACCTAATAGTATGAAAGAAGGATTTCACTCACACACACACACACACACACACACACACACACACACACACACACACACACACACACACACACACACACGTTTGAATAAGCTTGATATCTTAAAATGTCTTTAAAACTGGGAATTGTCATTTCTCTTCTCATAACAAGTCAAGACAAATATTAGGGCATCTTTTTTTTTTCAAAAAATTACATCTAAAAATACGAAATGTAAGAAAAGTAAGAAATGCACTAAAATGCTTACATGATTGTAAACAATATCAAGCTCCAGGTGGATGGTCCCTTTGGTTCTTTTTTGTAACTTTCTGTCTTTTAAGGCAAAAATTTTTCTTTCACCTTTGCATATCTAAAAAAAAAAAAAAGAAAAGATTTTTATTTTCAATCAGATGTAAACCTAAAGATATTACACATGTGGTTTAAATTATTATACTAAAAACAACTTCAAATTTTTCAAATGTATTAAAAAAAAATTAACAATTAGACAAAATTAGCTGTCTCATTCACATGTCACTGAAAACTGTATTTTCTAATTTTCTGTTGTGCCTTACTTTCAACAGAGGAATGGCAACTTTTCCAAGAAATTCCTTCTTCATGTCCCTGTCTTCATCATACACTGTCACTTCCAGCACAGAGTGGATGTCCTTCACATTGCTGTAGAAAAAAACACAGAATCACAGTTATACAAGTCCCAATCAAACTGAGAGATCAGACATAAAATTGCAAGGAATTTTGCTAAACAAAACATAAAACAAGGCATTATGCTAATATAAGAGGATACACACTCATCCTGTTTTCCTTGAAATAATGAAGAATCTGCTGTTTCAACAGCCCCATGATCTTTGTTGAAATGTATTGATGCCCTGGCAATTGATTATCAAGGCAAATACATGTAGAGCCAATCTGCACCAATAGGATCTTTTAGAATGCATTCAGAACAACGGACTAACAGATCTGCGGATCAAATATGGCTGATACACTTAAATGCTTATTGCGTAAAGCCCACAGGGAATCTATTCAGTGTCTAATCAAGAATTAAGCCACAAGCGTTTTAGTGGGTCACCATATTTGATTTGCGGATCTGTTAATCAGCTGTTCTGAATGTGTTCTTAGACTAGCACTGATCAACAATAAGCTCTTTAAGCTTCAGTGATGACCTCTCCGTGCCCAATGGTGTTATGTAAATAGAAGTGTATTATGTAGAAGAGGATATATAAATCAATTTGAACCCAAGGCAACTGCTCTATGAAGAAACATTAAGTACAGTACTGACATATAGAATTAAATTATTTTGCATCCATTCTATGATGTATCTTTATTGTTTATTGTAGACAAAATAAACTATAAGCAAAATCCATTGTGTAGACAAGAACGCAAAAAGTTGGTAATGGACATTCATAATTTTAATACTGCCTGAGTAAACCTGTTACAATGTAAAAATGTTAGCTGATGGCCACTCTTGGTCAAATATGTAAAAGTACTGTTGTCACTTACAATGTAAATACTTTATTCCATTCTGGATTCAGAGTTTTATATTCTGTCTGTGTCTGCAGGTAATCATTGACAAGCTCTAAGACACAATATGGATCACTCTTGCCACCAAAGTCAGCTGATGCCAAACCCTCTGCTTTGATTACTGAAATCCAATTAGAAATGGATACAAACAATTCACCATTTTCTGCTTATTTGAATATGACACCACCAACTGATTGAAGCTAACTCAATTTTCAAAACATCATGTTACCAAAAACTCAATCAAGTTTACTCCCATAAGAGATGAAGGTGAAAATGAATCTCTAAGCATGAAATCTGATTTAATACCAATGAAAGAAAATGGCCAATGACCAAGTTTAAAAAAATGAGATTATAAAGAAGCTGTCACACATTGGCTTTGGACACTGATGGTTCCATAGATATGCTGATAGTGAATGGATCAGCAAATAGGCAGCTTCAGTATTATTATTACTAAGTGTAGTGCATACATAATTTACAGATAACTCACCTTTCACTTGAAGCCAACCTATATCTGGCATATTTCTGAAGGACTTAATCAATCCCTGAAATGATTGTATTAAATAGATTTTATTACTCTGTAAGTAGGCATCAAAGTATCAAGTTGCAGTTAAATCAAAATGAAAATATCTAATTGGTATGAGTATGTTCAAAAGAGCACTGGCAGAAATGGTGCCTATATCATCAGAACCCTGTAAATGAAACACACTGTGACTGTAAGAAGACCAGCTATATAGAATAAAGAAATAAGCAGAATGCTTAAAGCTAAACCAATTTAAACAAGAAATAAGCCCCATTGATGAATGGACAAACTACATCCAAAGGGACCTCTTTGAACCTTGGTCCTTTGAATTAATCTGGTAAAATAATAGCTACAATTATCAATTTAAAAGTAGAGACTTTTAAATCAGGCAACCCTGCTGTCTGTCAATACAGACTGAACTACTTCAGGTTTAAGTTAAAAAAGATGCTCAACACACATTCAGGCAGGTGTGAGATTTAGCCCAAAAACTGAAAGACAAAAATCAACAACAAGAGTTATCACTCACATATTTCTGTACAATTGCATCTCTCTCGTATGGAATGGGTGTGTAGTTGCTAAGATCTGAGATGGTCTCCCTGCCTGCACTGCCAGTCACCGTGATCAGGAGAGTGATCACGCCTGCACCATCCTCCAGAGGTTGCACCACTTTGTGGGTTCTCTCACTTTCCAAGGTATTCAAATCAATCACGGCTCTGAAACAGAACAGCAACATATGCCAAAGCCTTTCCAATTCACATGATTTCTAAGATTGAGTACCTGATTAACATTCCCCCATCTAGTTTGAAAAATAAACATCATTAAAGTTTGATATAATTCCCAATCTAACAATGATGTACGAGTTTAACAAGTACAAAACAGATAAAACCATGATCTTGTGCATTTATTTGTTCTCCTGAAAATGTCCATTACCTGCCCATAAAGTCATCTCCAGTGACATCTTTGTCCCACACTGTTATTTCCAGTTGTTTGCTGTAGTCATCAAACATATGCAGTTGGAATTCTTCCAGCCACCTTGGTTCCAGTGTCTTTGACTTTACCTTATGAAGGAGAGAAGAACTGGAATTACCTTGAAATTACTTGAAATTACTTACCAATTCATATGGGTACCATACTTGATTTGCGGATCTGTTAGTCAGTTGTTCTGAATGTGTTCTTAGACTAGCACTGATCAACAATAAGCACTTTAAGTTTCAGTGATGACCTCTACGTTCCCATATTTGTTTACTTTGGAAAACACAGCATCAGAAGTTTTGTTTTGTGGCTATCGAGGCTATCAAGCCAATTTTGCTACGAAATAATAACTTATAAACCAGAAGAACTATGCCATATCACAGATTTCATGGATAAAGTTTATGAAAAAAATGTTCTAAAACAATAATAAACATGTGGACAAAAGGCAGATAAATATTAGCATATAGCTGGAAAGTCAAGGGTTTTTATGCACATTCTGCATTTTTATGGCAAGCACACTTCCAATGAAAGCAATATTTTTGTTGCCAATCTCATTCAAATGACTACTTTATAATGTTAGCTATGGACTTTTAGACCAAACTGATGTTTCTGACATAAACAATAATCAATAATATGTAGTTACCAACAGTCAATAATATGTAGTTGAATATATCAAGGAATTATGACATATATATGTGTGTTATGACATATATATGTAAATTACATATTCTATCCAAGGCTCTATTCAGAATAGGGGACTAACTAGTCCGGAGGTCAAACATGGCTGACCCACTTGAATACTTCCCCCCGGGATATCTATTCAGTGTCTATTAGCGGATTAGACAGCAAGCTTTGTAGTGGGTTGCGATATTTGTCCCACAGACTAGTTAGTCCCCTATTCTGAATGGGGCCATATAGAGCTTTATATCCTTCACATGCATTTATCTGTTAATGCCTGTTACAGTATTGATTCCAGAAAACGCTCATGTGACCTGAAATGATAAGAGTACTGGAATACATAGAGATTTTTGTCTCAGGCTAACATTCCATTACTTCATATAAATCACTCTCAATTGATCCATCTCATCTCCGGTACACACTCCATGATCAGGCTCACCTTGCTTCTACACTTTTCATTGCCCAGTCTGAACTTGACATAGGGGTCACTGAGGCCATTGTCATCCATAGGGAGCAACTGTTTCCCCTCTATTAGCACAATGGTGACCACACTGTTCCATATCTGAGACTTCAGCTTCTTGGCTGTTTCCCCATACGAGCTCTGCTGCTGCTGGCCCTTGTGGAAGAACTGGCAAGAGTGTAATGTAATATAACTTGACATTAGCCAGGGCAAAAAATTTGCAGAGCAGCTTTCAATTATGGTTTGTATGTAATTGATTAATCTTATCCAAAGTGCACGTTAAAATATCAATACTCAATTACTGTTCCGTGATTAGGCCTAGAAAGGGGAAAAAAAGATGAATAATTTAATTTAATGCTCCAGAATCTGGTATAACAGACACAAAACAACCGTGATAAATGTAAATGCCAATTTCAAGATTTTTTTTTCTAGCTTGCAAACATGAAGCATTACATTGCTAAAATAGCTTGAGTAATTGCTGCAGTCAGACTTGTACCAAACAACATGAAATTTTGTCATCAAGATTTAATACAGTAACAACCTGGAAAAGAGAATGCATTATTTCAGTTTTATATGATCTAGTTCAATTCATAATCACTGCTGCTGCTTAATCATGACTGTACCTATGGTTGTTTATAAATAATGAAGACCTCAGATTTACTGGACAGAAAGAAGACAAAAACAAAAGAGGATGCCAGATACATGTACCAGCAAACATAGATTCTTTCCTTTTTTGCTAATATCACCATTTGAATCAATTTCTTACATATTAACAGGCAACTGCTTGGTATTGCTCAGAATCACCTAGTATACAAACTTGTGATTTAAATGGGAAACACACCAATTCCACTAACCGAAAACAAAATCAATATGACAATAACAACATAAATTAAAAATTTTCTTGTTATATAAAAAAAATGAATTTTAATTCTCCTACCATGAAAACAGACTGCATTTTGGTTCTATTCCAGTTCTGCATATTCTGCTTCTACCATAGACATTCTCTGCTACGTGTTTAAACTCAATGCAAAGTATATTGACTGCTCTCACCATATATGTCAGTGATATGAACTGTGAAAATCTATATCTCTCAGACTATTTGTGGAGTGAAGATCTGAACTGCTGGATTCATGCAGGTTTGGGGTATCCAGAAGAGAGGTTGGAAGTGGAGCAATGCGCTACAGTACAACTACCACAATCCAGAACTATGATCTCTATTTACTAAATGCTCATTTCCGCCTGCAGATCAAAGATAATGATGCTACACAAAACACACTTACACAAATGGGACCCATAGGAAATACAACCAAAGAAGACTCTTACACTGATGATGCGGGGAAAACACATAAAACTACATTGTGGATGTGTTGCATGCCAACAATTGTGGCACGGAACTTTTTCAAACATAATGCGTATTTTTTTCACTATTAGAATCTATCTACAAGTGACAATGTTAAAACGATCAGAACTAGCTATGGCTGGTATTCTAGTACACATGAGAAAAATGATGAAAGAAATATATTGGTATTAAATTTGTCAGTTTTGACCTGCTGCAAATACCATAAGTGACACACTGATAATTTGGGTTTCAAGCCATTGGAAAAATTTAATTAGCCTACAGCATATTTTATTCAACACCTGCANCGGCGACGGCGACGACAGCGACAGACGCAGATGATGGCTATATGTACAGACACATCTGTGTCTGTACATAAAAAATGGAAAAAAATGCACAATAATACATCTCTTAACATAGCTATTTAGTTTTGATTTAAGTTGGGATGAGAGAAAATCAGTTAATCTGAAAACAAAATGTGTAAAACCCCTTTCATGAAAAAACATGTACAATTCAATATAATCTATTATTAATAATATTTAAGATGGATAATTTACTGTTTCACAAAAATACAAGCAATAATGTTGTATTACAATATTGGTCATTTCTTTTTCTAAAACCCAATTCATTTGTTCTCTACTGATTTCACAATGTTTAAAATGGCAAATATTTTTAAATAAACAATCTCGGACTGAGGTTTGTTAGTACTGGCAACGCTACAGTGCCACCCTGACCCAAGTTACAAGTTAAAAATCAAGCTGCAACATATATCTTTGTGCATCTTCTATGCTGTCTGACTCCACTATTGCTGCATCAAATATTCAAAGGAAAATGGTGACCCCACCCTCTATCTCACCAGAAATCTATGCCCTTTAATTGTGAAATCCAGGCTACTTCCAGTGTGTGCTTAAATGCTAGACTTTTCCCCAGATGTTTTTGCATAATTACACATATCATATATATATATGATATACATGCAGGTTTCATGTATCATATTTATATGCAGGTTTTAGGCTCAAGGCAGAGATCTGAATCTATTCTTTCATGTTATCAATGATAATCATAAATGCAGGATTATTTCAACATATTTTATCATTAAAAATGCACAATGAAAATAGGAAAAACTATGCATATTGAAGGGGCAATATATGGGAGTAGGGTTAACTCTCTTAAAAGGAAATCTTAAAAGGCATTTTATCTTCAGCAGCAAGCAACATTATTCTAGTTTAGTATGGCAGAATACAAACTAAGTTAATAATCTACATTAACTTCAGGTACCCAAGGTTAATAACTTATACTACCTTTTTCTCAAACAGACACCAGCATTCCTTCATAAAACTACTGTCCATGCAGATACCAGTTGAAAAATGTAACTACAAAGGGGCACTGTTCATGTCCTTCAGTCACCAACTTAATGAACAATATCAAAACACCCACAGCAAGACATTAATCAGTCTTGTATTCCTACTTATATCTTTGAGAATACAGCACACTAGGATAATAAGCATGCTGCTGTGTCATATCCAAATCTGATGTGATAAAATACTGTTTTTATCCAAAGTTAATGGTCATCAGATTTAGATTTGACTGGCTGATTGACTGGAGGGAGAGGTTAGTATGTAATGGTTGCACATGCCTAGAAATAGAAAACTGAACACTTACATGAGATAACACATTGTCAGTATCAGAATCAGAACTCGAGTCCTGGTAAAAAAAGCAACAACAGATTAAGAATCTGATGGACCCCCCCCCCTCATGCTGTAGATCTGGGGGTTACGCTCAATCTAATTTGTGCGCCAGTCCTAATTTCTGATAAAGTGAAACAAAAGAAAACCCATAAACGTTGACAATAAAATCTGAAAAATTTCAAAGACTATTAAAAAGTAGATAAATGATGCATTAAATTGTCAGAAAATGAAAGAAAAAATGGACAAAACTTCTCACTGATGCAAGGGTTTGATCAAAGAGGAAAAAAGGCAATCACAGGTAAATGTTTTTCATTTTTATTAATGTAATTAAAATCTAGCTACAGCTTGTTTACTTTTGATGATCATTCTGTGACAAGATGAAAGGACATACTTGCACTTCATCAGTTATAAAGATCTCCAAAGGATAAAATAAACTGCATATAAGTTCTTCTTTTTATATACGGAATATACTACAGCTAGATTATAATTTCACTCTAACAAGTAGCAACATTTAAGACAGGCCTAGGGAAAAAAGACAAGCCTCAGGAAAATGCCTAGGAACAATTATTAAATACTGCACAGGGACTGAAATTCACAACAATGAAAAAGAAAACTTATAGGGAAACTGAAATAAAAAATACAAAAAGCTTCTTAGAAAAAGGGAAACTGAAATAAAAAATAGAAAAAAAAAATTCTTAGAAATCATCAAGAATAAATAAATAGGTTTGTATAACCCTCTATATATCTAACAGACAAGTCATAAAAAAGGGAACCATTTTTGGAGTTGAAGACAAGCAGACTTACCCCACTCTTTCTTCTACAATAAACTGCATGCTGTGATACAACAAAATGATGACACATAACTATACTAAATGATGGATACTGATAATCTACTCGATTATTCTTCATTTTTACGTGTATTTTATAAAGAAACAATCTTTGTAAAGATGAAAACTAAGCCAACAGTGAACAATTATGTAACCATGGCCGTGAAACTGAAAATAGTAACTGAACTTGACACACATGCTTTTGTTAAATGGCAATTAAATTGAATAACAGAAATGATGCCTACAGTGAGTACAAATATGTTGGAAAAGATATAACTACAAACAGGTTTTGAACCCAAGGTAATAAACAGGCATCTAATAAATGAATCCATAGATAAGTAATTTTAGCAAGTTTGCAAAACACTCCTAGTTATCTATGTATCTAGAAATCATCTAGGTATCTAGAAGTATCCAAAGCTCTACTCTGGTGTAGACAAAACAGTCTTTACAAATAACTGCACTTATTGCAAATAACATGACTGTGTGAAAAAAGCCTGCTCTTCATTTTTTTGCAAGATGAAAATGTAGATGAATATTGACATTTACTTTACTTTACATCATGTTGTCTTATAGCTAACACAACCCTTTACCTTATTAATAAAGATTAATAAATTGACGTAGGGATGCTTTCAAGGATGTCAGCATAACAAATTATGTGACATGCAAACACACACACACCTGTTCTTTCTCTTCTTGAGTCTTAGGCACCAGTGTCAGCTGCATTTTTAGGTATCCCATATACTCTTCCTGTCCAGGACTACTTAACTTCAATGTCATATCCACAGGACTGGAACACAGAAAAAGAGAGAAAACTGATGGTGACAACAACATCACTTGGGGACGAAACTTCAGCATTTCAAATAAATAAATAAATAAATAAATAAATAAATAAATAAATAAATAAATAAATAAATAAAATAATAAAATAATAAAATAAATAATAATAAAAAAATAAAGAAATAAAGAAATACTGTCAACCCATGATGGTCAACTCAAAACCTTTTAGTATTGCCAATCAATGCCATCTTGGGTCAACAAAATTTCATCTTCCAGGTTCTTTACCATCATATTTAGGGCCAGAAAAGATAATATAACTAGAATATAACTATAACCCTTACTAGAATCCTTAATGTGGCTGTATTTCTTAGTTTCCATAAAGGTTTGACGGCGAAAGTCTATAAATTTCTAAAATCTGCCCTTACACATTGAGGTCCAGTTGCTTGAGGTCAATCTCCCCACTGCCCATCTGGTCATCAGAGAGACCTCGGTCATAGTCAAATACCTTGACCACCACAGGTTTGAAAACATCTTCAATGGGAATGGAGAACTTTTCATCCCAGCGAGGATTCAAGTTCTTGTACTTGGTTCGGCTTCTGTATAACTGCTTGCCTGCAACCTTGAACTTTACATAGGGGTCACTGGTGCCTGAAATATTAAAGCATCTAGTATATGTAGGGTAGTAATTAATAGATAGATTTGTTTTAGAAATCCCCCTCCCTCTCTCTGTGTGTGTGTGTGTGTGTGTGTGTGTGTGTGTGTGTGTGTGTGTGATGAGAGAGAGAGAGAGAGAGAGAGAGAGAGAGCTAAGCATATTTCAGATAAGGTTAAGTTTTGGTTGATAACAGATAATTTTAGAGAGATGAAAGGCAATAATTGAAAAAAATAATTCTTCAGCCCAAATTAAAGGATTGATTTTTAATGTTCAGGATAAATATTCTGTTGTGTGCTAGGAAGCAGCTAGATTAGAATGCATGCTGGCAACAATATAAGACTCCGCTCACATGGAAAGTGCATTTTCTAAAAATCTATTTTCTATTCGCGGTATCTTGTAATCACGGTCCCTGTGCCCTGAATATCCCGAGAATTAATTACAGCTTTGGAAGTAACTGGCTCGCGCCGCCAGTAATTACGCTGCGGGATATTCAGGGCACAGGGACCATGATTACAAGATACCGCGAATAGAAAATAGACTTTTAGAAAATAGACTTTCCATGTGAATGAAGCCTAATGCTCTTTTTTCTTTAACAGTACACCTATCAACTAGCAATTGTCTTAATCAACTAAAACCAGCCGATGAACCTTGGATATGGACCACTTCATCATCAGTATGATACTATAATGTTCACATCTCAAAGCAATACAAGTAATTGTACCAGTAAACATTAACTTTGTTACTGTAATATATTACACAACAATACTAGTAAGTAATCAGTAAGGGAGACAACTCCCAGCTGACAATAGCTTACTATAGATGTGCTGAGCCATGATAAAAAATCAAAAACCATTAATCAACAGAGAATACATTTCCCTGGAGTAATGGCGCTTACAGCAAACACTATGTATAAAAAGATAGCTAACATATTTGTTGTGACATCAAAAAGATCCCCATAAAAATTACACACAAGTATCACATTGTAACAGATGGCAGTAGTTAAGCCTTTAATTTTAATTATTTGCAGAAGCTGGTGAAAGATGTGGAGGGGGTACATGACGAAAGAGAAAGGTATACAAATGGAGGAAGACAGGGGCGGATCTGGAGATATTTTCTGATAGTCTTCTAAATTATCTTTGTTAATCCATCCTCCATTTTTGACCGTCTTCCGACAGAAAACATTAGATAACCGTCAATGTAAACTTAAAAATCTGACCGTCTTCCGGAAGACCCAAAAGATGGCCTAAATCCGCCCCTGGAAGACCCTACGAAGTGAAAGAAAAACAAAAAGATATATATCTCTAAAAAACCTCTCATCTGAAATCTATTCTATGAACAAATGCATGCAAAATTAATAGACTTAGAGATCAGAAATTATTCAATACCAGCAGGTCCCAACACTGGGTGCATAAAGCATAAAGCTAAGCAAGGCAACTTGTATGCCTGCCTGGTAGGCAAAGGCAAAATGCTGGTCAATTATACTGAGACAAATACAATGGATATGAATTCATATCCACTTGAGCATGTTTAACGAAATGAAATAAAACTGAAGTTTCATCCGATAATTGATGGGACAGCTGCATGATAGGAGTTCATCCTTCATAAGATATAAAAGCATTTACCAATACTTTACCATGCATGCAACTACACAAGATTTACATGTAACTACATGGTGTACATGTTACTACCAATTAACTTATGAAAGTGGTGTGTGTGTGTGTGTGTGTGTGTGTGTGTGTGTGTGTGAGAGAGAGAGAGAGAGAGAGAGAGAGGATGGGTGGGTGTGACCATCCCTTCATTGTGAAATTTCTTTCATTAAGCAAGATTTCATCAGCTGGACCTTACCACTGCTATCCCGTATCACAAGGTCTCTCCCCTCATATAGTATCACATTGAGTTGGTAGAAGGGATGTGATCTCAGTGCCGTGATATGTTTTTGGTGCTCAAGGCCATCCTGAAAAAATTAAAAATTACAATGCTTACTCAAAATAACAATAGGAACCAATATTTTCAGCAGTAGAACAAGTTTTTATTTCATTTTATTCATGCCTATGTCCATGCTGCCTTCACCCACAAGGTTAGTGCTAGATCAAAACCCACCATGGGCTGGCTTCACAACTATACTGGCAAGCTGAATATAGTACATTACTTTAAAATGTAGCATTTTACAAATCAATTTACAAAAACACATTGTGGACATGACATGTCCAGTTTATTAGTGATTCTCTATAAAACTACTGATAATGGATTATCAGTGGCATGCATGTATTTCCCTTCACTTAGTTACAACTCATGTTTCATGCATGCTTGTTAAACTAACTGACGGAATACTTCCAAACAAAATCCTTAGTCTCAGAATTTACTGCAGTTCATAACATGTGGTCATGCAACCAATTAAATGTAGATGCAGTGTAACCTCTTTATCCATTAAGTAAATGCATGGGTTATAATTAGCTGATTTAGACAAGTTACTCATGTACTGTCAAAGAAAAAAAAAGGTAGGGCAATGGGGAGGGGGGAGAGAGAGGAGGGCTCTTTAGCTCAATGTTATGCCCAAAGACAATGCAACTAAACTATGATCCAGATAAAGAAAATAAATGAACACTTTTATTTCTCTAAGGCATATCTCCTACATTTTGAGTGCTCATATGACTGGACATTGCTAAAACCAATTCCTTGACCAGTAACATGACGTGAAGAGGTTCACTCTCACAGTCTCACTTCAAATGAAATATATTTAACATCAACAAAGATGATGTAGGGCTATCAAAATGAAGGGTTTGTATCATTCAGGTTAGTCAATGCAAGAAATAGCTTTAATTTTTTTTTAATTTATTCTATCATTTTTTTATAAATGGCATTCTGGTTGTCCAAAAACATTTTTCAGTACGGATGACTGTCATCCAATATTTAACCAAGCAATTGCCAAACTTAAGACAGAAATGCAATAAAACAAGCTGTCGAGGCAAACGGTTGATTGTGTCTACATGTATTGACTTCTCCAGGCACTTGAGATGTGAAGATCTATTGGCAGTACTTGCGATCACACAGTGCCTTTCAATCAGGTTGCAACCACTCTGGCAGAATATCATAGAAAACAAGTGCAGCTTGGATGAAAACAGGGAAGCATGTATTCATATACAAACCATTGAATAAAATAAGAAAAATGGTGTGAAGCTGTTATGAACTTGCAAGCACTAAAATGTAGGCTTTAATAATTCTTTCCTAAAGACCGTTTTTATAGAAATGCTTCATGTTTTTTCAAAGTGATATCCTAAGGTATTATCCAGGCCCTTTATTCCTGCATAAAATGTTAAGGATATCAAATTATATTACAGAAACAGAAGATTACTTCTAGGACCCAAAATATATTATCTTTTACCCTAGATTACTTTCATCCCTTTACATTATTGAATAACTAATCAAGGCATTCTCCTCACAAAACATGATTTTTTCCTGCATAAAAAATATTATCTGCTGCTCCTTTCCTATATTTTAATAATAAGGTATTGGTAGCAATGGCAGATAATAGTGGAATGATGGAAAATAACAGATGGCTATTGTCACTTCTGCTTTTGAAGTCTTAATCTATAAATATAAAGTCAATAACAGACTTAAATGAATTTCAGTGAGAGGTACATCAACAAAAGAATAGCTTTGATTCAGATCCGCCTTCCTTTGAAATGAGCAACGTGATTATCCTCAAGATGTCGACCATGATTACTTTCCATAATTAGTTTTACAGTGCTGTGTTGTGCAAATGCATACAACAGTGATTCCTTGCTTTTTGCAATGACGCCATCTTATCTCCTTGAAACATGTCTCAATGGTTTGCTTACAACAGAATGCTTTGGTTATCAAAAGCAATGTTGGGTAATCCCGTTTCTCAATGTTTTTTATTTTTTAATCTTAGAGCGCGTTCAGAACAAGTTGATATGTGGACTTACAGATCCGTGGATCAAATACTTAAAAGCAAGCCAAATAACACTCTGCTGTGGCTGACCCCACTTAAAAGCAAGCCGCCTAATCCCCTGATGGTCTCGTTGATTCCACATACGCCATTAAATGGATTAAATCTCAGCTCCATGATTTGATGCTAGGACCCTGCAGGAAGGCTGCTTGTGATAGCGGGGAGACCATCAGGTCTACAGGTCATCTGTTCTGAAGGCGCTCTAAGGCCTATAGATGGCATGGAGTGTTCCATCAAAGCCTTCCACTTTCAGCAATCTGTTTTGAGCTATTGGCAACTTTAAAGCCCTGCACAGCTACTATGTGAGAGAATCACCTAATAGAAGCTTCGATCTTTGCATGACGTAGCCACAAACTTGTGAAAGTGCATTAGTCATCTGTATAGTAGTAATCTCAGTATGCTTGTGATGACCAGTTTTATGCTAAAGATGCACTGCATTTTGCTCTAACAAGAGAAATGTCACTAAAATTAGAACTAGTTAAAATGCAAGCCGTGCACTATATGTGACATACAAAAGCATAATTATATTGCAGCGCAGCCGATTTGCTCTTGTTTGCTGCATAACTGAACTCTACAGCTGGTGATTCGGACAATGATGTTTTTAAAAAAATCAAAAATGGAATAAAAACATTGAATCCAAGTGCAGGAACATGACCAGGAATGATTTGGTGAGTGGGAGAAAACTGCAAATTTTTTTCCAGAAGACATTTATTTTGGCGGGTAAATCCTGTACTGAATACCTTTAAGTCTGAAAATATTTCCAAGACAGCACATTATCCAAAACATCAAAATTTAAATTTTTGAATATTTATATATATATATGTTACAGCATATAAATATGCATCTCATTTCTATCAAACAGACAATATAGATTATACAGATATATTATTTTAGAGTGTGACCTAATCTACATTAGTTAGATATGAGACATAAAGTGGGTTCATTTCATACAAATAATAATTGAGAGACCTGACGGAATGGATAGAAGGCATTCCCATGTACTAGTATTCACCTCTGGCCTAAATAAAAACTTCCTCTTCTATCAAACAAAAATACAGAAATATATTTTTACAAAATGATATATCATAAGTAGTCAATGGGAAACAAAATCTTCGACTAGGTTCCCATAAACTTATGGTAGCTAGCTGGATCAATCTAATTCTGAGGGGATTCTCGCTAAATTGCATTCAGTTTAAGCGGCTGAAATGTCTGTCAAACCCACTAATGCTGCTAGGGAGGATAATTAACTTTCGTGCACGCTTAAACTAAATCGCGAAAAACCCCTTGGAGATAGATTGATCCTGCTAGTATGATAGCTAGGGTTTTGGAATGGACCCTCTGAGAGCAATAAAAGCTAACCCTTTAGAATAATACTAATAATGAAACCACAGGGCTGACAGTCTTCTCTGATAGTGTATATGATCATCAATATAACAGAAATAAAGCAAAAGAATATGCTGATAAATAAAACCTTGCATTATGACCAACTGGACAGACTGGAGAGAACGTTAACTCTTGCACTTAATTGTCAAACAATTTCCTTCCCTGGAACATTTAATCAAACTACAGTAACAGAACTTGGCACGATAATTAAACCAACTACCTGTTTGCAGGGGTCAGTCTCAGTTGTGTGGTCCTCCATAATAACACTGAGCTAGAACACTCACTCCTGCTGCAGTTTCTGTTTTGGTAGGTTGGAAGCCTAATTTACAGGTTGCAGAACCAGTTCCAGTAGTGAGTCACGTCTACGGTCAACACCAGAAACTATCACAGTGACAGTGCAATGCGCACCAGACAATTCAAATATTAATAATTATGAGTAGCAGTGTTGGCTCCTATTCACAAACAGCTATATATTTTACTGGCTGTGACTGTCATATTCTGTAGAACACTGTCAGTAGTCTGGAAGTGCTCCACCAACTAGTGCTTAGGTTGCTAACACGAAAGGTTTGTATAAAATTACAGTGCGCAGGCAATATCTTGTAAGAAGACAATGACAGTCGCTTTCTATCCATAAACAGAACTAGGTAAGACTGTGAATGTTGCATTCGCCTGCGGTGTGTGCAATTATTAAATCTCTCCTACATTTTTGCTACTCACTTAAATTATTCAAAAGATTAATATTGGCTTCCAGTGTCCTGGCATGAAATACAATGATTTCAAAATACTTAGCAGATTTTCAAATCTGTCACTTTTAAAAGTCAAAACCTTACTTATTACTTGTAGTAACTGATATTTTTAGTTTAATCAGTGACACTTAGTCAAAACTTAGTTTCATCATGCCATTTACCCATATTACATATTAATTCCTCTTCTAATATGGAAAATATTGCTGACAACCCTATGACTGCAGTGCAGGAAAGTGAGCTACGCAAAACTTGAAAGTATACAGTAATTCACCACAATTCTGACAGAGATTATTTAATTGCTTTTTCCTTTTAAAGGAAATATACAGTTGAGACCCACTAACTAAAATAATAACAATTGATCAAGAATCCCCGTCCACCCTGTCATATCAACTAGCTTAGGGCCAGGATAAAAGCATGGTTGTTTACAGAGATTCACAAGGATTTCTTCATGACATTCAGGGGAGCATATTTAATTTATACAGGGTCTTTGTCCCTGACTACATGGTGGCATAGCAACAACAGTAAGGGCTGCACTAAACTGATCTGAAATTATTGGATCAGAGCGACCCAACATTGACAGTCAACACTAGGTCGATCCTTCAGCATAAGGCATAAGCTGTGGCCCCAATGTGAAATCATAAACACCCTCTTCATCCTCTGGACAAAAACATACAGTCTGACATCACTCAACTTCTGCGGCAATACACTGAAACCAATGAGTTACACCATCTGATCCGACTGAAAGAAATGTGTGCGCCAATACCCAGCTGACAGAAATTCCCAAGTCAGTCATAGCGAGTACCATAAGCATCCATTTTCACCTCAAAACAACCATCATTCACAGTAGTTTTGTAACATATCATTTCCAATCCCCTGTTAATAACTTGGACACGTCTGACTGTGAAATTGATAACAGAATCACATTTGCCAAAGTGCTTACATACTGGGACAATTGGTAATCAATACAATGATCCTTTTTTTTTTTTTTTGCAGGCAGAAAAAAAGAAAGGATATCAATTACTAGATTGCACTGAAAGTCACGTAAATCATCAGGCTTGAGGGTCTATATAACATATCCAACTCCCATCATATGTTCAATAAAATTGAAAAAATCACCACTAAATCCTGCAGACAATATGGTCAGAGTTAATTTTAAGCAAAAAGGTTTATCATAAAAAGAATATAAAAAGAATACTTTCCTTTAAATCATATTATAAATATATCATCCAGAACTACTGACTCAACTTTCCTCATGCGGTTAGAAATAAAATCAACATAGTTAAGAAAAAACACCTGCCACAGTACCTTCTTATATTATATTATATGACCTGCATTCACAGCATAATCCCATGCACAAATACTCATGTTAGTTACTAATACCTGATCGCTTCTGATGGTGTTTTCATATTGTTAAAAATTTTGTTGAAAATATTACAAATAATAACGAAATAAAGAAATAAATACAATTTTGGTAAATAAATGTTAGATTACATGTCAAAATGATAGTTAATGCATGAACCAATTTATCCCTAAGACTGAAAGATACTTACCAAAAATTTGGAAACTCGTGCATACCATTGCTGCAAGCATATATATAGCCATCAAGTCATTGTAGAATCCTTTTAATTAAAATCAAAGTCAATTTCTCCACTAATTTTATCAGATAAGTGTTTGGGTCACATGCAATTAAAACCACATACAATATCCTTTTTTGCATTATTTAACCATCCTCTTCCATTTCATGCTGTAAAAACTTGTTTCTTGTGATAGGAAGAAATGGACTAGATAAAAAAGGTATCGCAAGAAATGACAAGATAAATAATTATAACTGTGAAAAAGTCTTTTTCACATGTTAAAACGCTATGGTGGCAGAGATGTGACTCAAGGTAATTGAGATCATTATCAGCCCAATACTTTAAGGGCTTATTCCCAATAAAACTTGGCAGGGACTCCTGCTGAATGCAATCAGATTAACACGCCTCCTTGTTTCCAACATAGTCATATAATCACCAGCTTTTCTCTATTTACTCAATGCCAAGAGGTATTTTAACTTTTTAAATGTTGTTCAACTGATTACACTCAGCATGAGTTGGATAGATCTCATATAAAAAGATAATTTCATTGGGAATGGGGCCCTAAGGAGGAGGAGGAAGAGGAGGAGGAGGAGGAGGGAAGACCAGTTGACAGGGGTGGATTGAGGCCATCTTCTGGGTCTTCCAGAAGATGGCCATACTTTCAAGTTTACACTGACGGGTATCTAATTTTTTGTTTTATTTTTGGAAGACGGTCAAAAATGGAGAATGGATCAACAAAGATAATTTGGAAGACTGTCTGTCACAAAATATCTCTGGATTCGCCCCTGGTTGATATGGCTTTCTTCCCATTGGTGGATGTTCTGGGTGTAATCCTGAAATTTCACCTTTCTATCAAAATAGCAAAGCTGATTATGACTAAAAATAAAGAGGAGAAAAAGTAAGGTTTAATGGAGAAAATTAGATTACATGTAACATAAGCTTTATAAGATTTTTTTTTCTTAACATGTCACCAATGGGTGCCACTTGGTAACAGCTTCTGTTTAAAACTTTGTAAGAAACTGTAAAGCTACACCTTACAACATCATGAAGATGTATTGAGTGTCCATCTTGTAATTATCTATAGATCAAATCTGTCAAGCTTCATCTCCAAGGGAAAGTGAGTTAACTGTTTCTATTGATTCTATGAAAGTACTTTAGCTTTCCAGACACTGCAGCAGGCTAATGATCCAAACTGTAGTGACAGCAAGTGTTAAATGTTGCTTTCAATAGACATTCCTTTTACATAATAAAAACAAAGAAAAAGAAACACAGATCAAATAACCATGCAAGTTTGATTAGAAAACAATGACATGTGTGTTTAGGCAGTGAAACCAAGTTTAATGTATCTTGTGGGTTGATTAGATTTTCTTTTTTACTTTTTTTTTCACATCCGTGTTCTACCAACTGAAGAGTGAAAAAACTATATTGCAGTAGCTTGCTTTTTCACAAGCTTGGATAAATAAAACAATGGGCTGTTGTCACAAACCATATTTTTTTGTTGAAACTTAAAACAAGATCTAGAGCATACAAGCAAAAGTTTACTCAAAAATTAAGATCTAATTCAAGTCTGAAATAATAACAAAATGCAGGGCCTGTTCACTGCATATAAGAGAATACGTTTCATGCCCGTATGGGGTTAGCTTCATTTTAGTTTTATAATTGAAAACTTGTTGCAGACTAATCAATTTTCTTTCCTGTGCATTCTGTAACCACACCTCTCTTACCTGACTATCTACAATGGTAATTCCACTGTCTTGCTCCTCCATTTCCTTTACATTGATGTCTGCATTCAAGTTATTCAAGGCAGTGTCACTTGCGAACCTTCCTTTTATCATCGCATCAGCACCTCCGGCAGGTTTATCACGGCTTAAATTGTTCCCAGTATAAATCTCAGAGGGATCAATAGACTCAGCAGTTCTTACTGGCACAGTACTTTCAAGAGCTGGTTTCCCGAGATCTGTCCTACTGTTACTGTGTAAATGTCGTTTCAAGTCATGGTCCGAGACGTTAGGCTGGCTCTGGGAAAACTGCTTGCCTAGTTTTTTAGGCTTTGTTTTGTCTTTGTCTTTGTATCCAGGGCGCAGTTTCTTGAAACTGCTCCAGATTCTTTGCCTTTTGCTTTTTTTCAGCGGAGATGCTCTGTCTTCGAAACCATTAATTCCCCCTTGCTCATTTTCTGGAGAACCTAGAAAGATGGATAGTAAATAGTTCTTCTTAATGAATTGAATCAGATATGAAATAATGCCAAGTTGAAATACAATTAACCTTTTGAGATTCAAGGTTAATCCATAAACATATATATGTGAACATCACCAGGATGCTTTCATGTTGAGATCGTCCTTTTAATTATTCAGTCCATGTCCTTCACTACAATGCCTGTCTTATCTTGGCAGGGCATCTACCCATCACTGGCTATTACTTGTATAAATGAAGACTGCTGCAGTGATAACAATGGGTTGGTATTCTGGTTTGACAAAGTGGAAAGCAAATTTAATTTTGCAATTAAATGCACTATAATATAATAATATTCATTTCTTATGTAGCACATGCCATTAATATACATACAGGCCCATAACCAGCAATTTCGGGGGGGGGGGTCTTTTTCTTAAAAGGTGGACCTTTTACCATGAAACCTTCATATACCTAGTAATTTTACCCAGAGGGGACCTTTTCCCAGCAAAAACGGATGTTCTTCAAACCCTTCGAACCATCCCTGGCTATGAGCCTAACATCTTAAGGTGCTTTATAGGTATATAGTATAGGATTCTTAAAGGATTTGTGATGTCATGGCTTGAACAAAGCATATCCTTCAAAAAACATAACCAACTACTGTAATGATTTCTTTATCAAAATAGACAATTGGAAGTTCATTTTAAAAGCTTTAAAATGCACCCTTTTGGCTAGGTCTATTATAAGTCTTTATTTTCTTCCCATGTATTTTGGCCATTCTGAGGACATTAGAGGTTAGAGGCACTTAAAAAACAAGTAGTCAGTAATCAAAAATATCTGCCTTACCTTTACACCTGCACTAAGGTAAATATATACCAAAACACCATTTAACCAATGCCTCCATTTTTCATATTTACTGTTGACATTTTACTGTTGACATATTCTGTTACTACTGGTATAGAGGGATGCAGCTAGGCAAATGCTAGTATGAGAGCTGCCGTGGAAAAATTTAAATAAAACAACAAATTTAAAGCTAATTACTTACAAATACCAGAATCAGAAAACCTCTTGAGGTGCTGCATTTTTTCAGGACCTGTAACAAATTGGGATTCATCCCAATGCTTCTTTTCCCTATAGCTTGAGTACAATCTTCTAGCCATTGTGGCTTTTCAAGCTTGGTACATCAATTGAAATCAAAATTTACTGGCTGTGGTCTTTTTAAAATGCCATGCTCCAGACCTGACTATCTCTGGCTATAATGAATTTTTCGTTTAACAAGTCCTTCACATTCATCCTGAAATAGAATATAATCCAATGTTTTTTTTTTCAAATAGAAAATGGTGCTATTTCCGTTTTTGATTCTGCACAGAATATTACATTTTTAGAGATGTTTTCGACTTTCTGCCATCACTGCTGAATTCATCCAACATGATTACTGTCAGTTCCCTGTCCCTGGTGGCCAGGCTAAACATTCATTTTCAGCGCAGGATGTTCTGAGATATAATGGCACCCTGATGAAAACATAGAGCTAAATATGCAGTCTTTTTTCCCCTATTCTTGTCATGCACTATCAGTGTGAAGACAAAATTTTTCTGCCTGCCACGCTAAGCATCCCACATAAATATATGTACTAGTAAGTAGTTAGTTATATGTAAATCCTACAGGATTCATAGCTTCATTTAAAGCTGTCTTTCCTGAACCAAACATCATATACACACTTTGTTCATCTGGATAAGCCATTATAATAATATATTTCCTGGCATATACAGGCTTAATTTAATAAAAAAATTTCTGAAGCTAATCAATAGATGTGTCAATTGGATATAAATTTCATGAAGCTGTCTGATTAACTTTGTGCATATCAGAGAGTGCATCATATATCACTTTCCAAATATAATTCCTTAATTGGTTTTTGTCAAAGCCTTCCCTATCAATTATGCACATATTCCTAATGTACTTTGGAATTAGCCCTTATCTTTTTTTTCTGTTAAATTACAAAATACATATATGATATTTCCAGCTATCAAATATTTGTCAGACAGATCATCTAAAGGCAAACCTCAACTCTACAGCTTAATACAGAGTTTGCTTCCAAGATTCCTGGTTTACTTTTCAAAATCCCTTCAAGCACAATTGTTAAGAACATGGTAAAGAAAAAAAAATGCACTACCCTTTAAAAGTACATTGTCTACTTAATTAGTCAAGCCATTTGGCACATTTAGAATCAAAAGGGGAATTGTTATTACTAGTACATTACAAATTAATTTTCAGGACAGCAAACAAAACTTTCCAAATTCTATCATATGTGCTGGCATGTCTTAGAATATATTTTGTTATAAAATTCTTAGAACAGGTAGATAAATGGTACTTGATTCAATAGATTGTGATACTATTTTTATATATAGAAAGTATGAGGCACAAAAATTGTGATTGCTATCCCCAATTGTTTTAAGTACAGCACATCTAATGCAATTAAGAAGCAATTCAACCACACTGCCATAAAGATACATTGCAGGAGAAAGTCAATCCCTGTGACATATATAAAATCATAAGTATCAGTTTCAAACACAAAACAGTCCACATGAAAAAATCTATCTCTCAATCAGTTGAACAAACTTGATAACTGCATTGCCATGTTTTTCAAATTTTAAATTTCTAGTCATGAAGCACAGAGAGAGTAGGCAGGAATTAGCTGTGCAAAAAGCTGTGCAAATATCACTTTTCAGAGAAAAAATGTAATGGAATTCAGCTGTATTTCTTTACACCAAACTGTCTGATAAACTATAGTGGCATTTAGTTGGGTTCAGTGGCAATGATTTGATTTAAGTACTCACTATGCATCTTTAATGTTGAAAGCCTTTTATATACGGTCAGGAGATTTCTATTCTGGAGTAAAAATATCTCTCATATATTATTCTGCTAAAGTAACAGCAAAAAGTAACTAACTGATGTGCTACATATTATACATTTGCTACAGAAGCATATGTAGCTGCAAAAAATTATGTAACTAAACAGTTTCATTCACTTGCAGTAAGATCAAAATGTAATATGCTGTCAGTTTCAGATATTAATCAGTCATTATTTAAATAAAACTTATAATTAAGAGTTTTGAAAATGGCCTCAAAAAGATAATGTTTGTGGTCTTTGCAAAATTGGGGCACCTCCCCTATTGTTTAGCAGGCCAATAGTTGAAAAAAAATATTTGAATTCAAAATCTTTAACCTTGTTAGACTAATTCCCCACACATAAAACTCAAAATGTGAAAAAATATCAGAGTAATCTGAAGGAACCCAGAACATATGGTTGAAATGAGAAGCAATGAACCATGTAATAACCAGCTTTCTTGCAGTTTTCCACATGGTATACATTTCATAGCTTGTGCTTTGAACCCATATGTATAAACCTAATCACTGCTGTTCTTTTAACCTGGGGTGGCTAATATAAGGCTTTTACCCAAGGCAGTACCGAACAATATAAAACAAGGGACATGCATTAGCCTGTGTTACAATCTTAAATGAGTTTTCCTTCCAGGCAAGGCTTTCCCCAGAGAGCTGTCCTGCTATTATCTGAACAGCCATTAGCCTCAACAGTGGGCCTATATTTCCAAAGACAGCTTACAAATTTTTGGGTTGGTTGGTTGGTTGGTCTTCCTTGGGTTGGTTTCCCTGTAAATCAATGACCCAATTACAAATTCACATTTTGGACTCTGGCGTCTGCTGTACCCCAAATCCTGGGGAAACCCCTGCTTTCAGAGATAGATAACTTTACATAGTCCTGGCTAGTGGTGAGATACTCATATACAATACTGTACATCTGGTGCATGAGCAGGGTGGACTAGTCATTATTAAGGCAGTCACTCAACCTTAACAGATAAAGGGCAGGAAAAAAATACCCATGTTCTTTATTCAGATTAGATGACCTTGTGTCCATATGCTAGGAAATACTGAATAAATATCAGTGACACTTATCATTTTGGCCATCTTGGATTATAACTGTATGTCTCTAGCCTATCAGTGATCAATATTCTTGTGTCTATCAATTTCAATTTTGGTGAACCACTCCATTCTTATTATGAAATATTGAACTATATATACGTTATGAAAGCCAGCATAAACTGGACAAGCAATCTGTCATGTGTTGCTATCTCCACTGTCAGGAAATATGGCATGAAATTGCTGCTTTGTTATGATCTGAAAGTGATCTATAATGTTTTCAATCCCCATTGCATGTGCTGATTACAACGCTGACATTTAAACTACCGTGGGAAGACCGCAATTTAAAATTCTATGGATCCTTTTATGAAGGGTTTCTGCAAATAACTAGCAATATTTACCAAAAAGTGCTCAAACAGTAATTTTTTTTCAAATTTTCTCAACTTTTATAACATATTGTTTATACTTCCTCATCCTGTTGTGCACAACAGTTCATCATACATAATTACAGCTGGCATTATTTTTGGTATTTAAATAAAATAAAACTTCACAAGGTTCTTTATAAAAGATTTGTTTGCAGCATCACCTTTATTTCAATACATCTATTAAGCCAAAAAATCTTAAGCGTGCTAATAGAGTCTTTTCCACGAAATCGTGAGCATGCGCAGTTCGCGCCATTTTGTGCGGGACTGTTTCTCAGGGGGAAAGAGTAGAAGGGGCCTTCGGTACTTTTGTAGTATACCCCCCCCCCCACCCTGTAACTTTCTGTAACTTTCACTTTTCAAACAGTTTTTTACATTTTATTGTTTATCTATGTCAAAGCTGTTGAAATAAAATGCTTTTGTAATTACCTGTGGACTTTTTATTAGTGTTAATCACGTTTAATCCAGCCCATTGAAATACAAAGTTAGAATCTTCAATTTACACACGCAGTCAATAACTTGCCGCATTTTCGTTGGCTAACTCTAAGGTAATTTTATGTGAACAAGTAGCTCATAATAATTTCACAGAGGAAATCTAAGTATACAATGTATCAATCCTATGTTCACATAAAATAAGGTAGAGTTAGCCAACGAAAACGCAG